TGACCCGCAGCAGCTGGATGACTGGTCCAGGCCACACAGCCCGCCCCTGCTCCCAGCCAGCTCCAGTGTCCCTGCTGGCTCCCATGCCATCTTAGTGGTGGCAGCAAACTCATTTCCTGGCATCCTGCATGTAACGTAGGAAAGAAACAGGGCACGTGAGTGAGGCCAACAGGGTCAGATGGTGTTCACGTGGCAGTTTGAATTTTAGAAGGTTTTACATACATTTTACATATGTGTGTTTTTATTATTTAATAGCATCAATAAATTAAGGGATGCCTTCCTGTAAATTCCTTGACACCTTGACCAGTCCAGGAGAACACAGTATATGTAGATCTGTCCTCCTTTCTAGATTTGGAGATGCCATTTAACCCTGCATCTTAGGTGACTGTCCACTTTGTTCCTGTTGGTACCGGACGGGTGTTCTCTAAAGCGTCTCAGAAAGCTGAAGCCACATCATTTTCCTTCTTGATTTCCAGTCTTGTAAAACAATGTTCCCTGAAAAGAATATTTTTCTTCTTTTCATTCACAGATTTTTTTAAAAAATAAATTTATTTATTTTTGGCTGCGTTGGGTCTTCATTGCTGTGCACGGCATTTCTCTAGTTGCGGCGAGCAGGGGCTACTGTTTGTTGTGGTGTGCGGGCTCCTCATTGCGGTGCCTTCTTTGTTGCGGAGCACGGGCTCTAGGCATGCGGGCTCAGTAGTTGTGGCACACAGGCTCAGTAGTTGTGGTGCACGGGCTCTAGAGCACAGGCTCAGTAGTTGTGGAGCAAGGGCCCAGTTGCTCCGCGGCATGTGGGATCTTCCTGGACCAGGGCTCGAACCCGTGTCCCCTGCAATGGCAGGCAGATTCTTAACCACTGCGCCACCAGGGAAGTCCCCACAGATTTTTTTTGTACATTGTTGTGATCACACTGAATATATAGGGTTTTTTTTCTTTTTTTTTAATTGAAGTGCAGTTGCTTTACGATGTTGTGTTAGTTTCTGGCGTTTAGCAGAGTGATTCAGTTATATATTCTTGTTTAGATTCTTCTCCCGTATAGGTTATTACAAAATATTGAGTGTAAGTCCCTGTGCTGTACGGTAGGGCCTTGTTGGTTGTCTGTTTTATATATAGTCGTGTGTATCTGTTAACCCCAAGCTCATTGTCCAGCAGAGGTAGAAGTTCCAACCAAGCACCCAGGGAAACAGGCGCAGATGGGCCAGGCTGCGGCATGTGACCAGGGGCTGGCCGTGCTCAGCAATCTGCAGGCAGAGGGACCTGCGGGGCTGAAGGTGCAGAGTGGTGGAGGCGGTCCACTTGGCCCTCAGTGAGGATGTAGCTTGAGGAGGCAGACAGATGGATGTGAATGTCCATGGCCAGTTTCCTGACACTCACCTGCCACTTTCAGCTGACAGATCCTGGCTAGAAGAACCAAACATGATTTTGAGCCAGGTAGAGGAAATTTGAGGATTTAGCAGAAGAGAAGTTTCTCGTCTTCTGTAGCCGTGAAGGTCAACTTATGACAAAGTTTTGGTGTACCCTGCTATGGACTGTGTCCTCCCCAAATCCACATGTTGAAGCCCCAAACCCCAGTGTGATGGCATTAGGAGGTGGGGTCTTGGGAGGTGATTAGGTTTAGATGTGGTCATGAGGGTGGGGGCCCCATGATGGGATTAGTGCCCTTATAAGAAGAGATACCAGAGAGACCTCTCTCTCCATCTTTTGAGGACACAGCATGAAAGTATCCTTCCACAAGCTAGGAAGCAGCTCTCATCAGAAACCAAACTGCCTGGTGCCTTGATCTAGGGCTTCCCAGCCTCAAGAACTGTGAAAATAGGGTACTTCCCTGGCTGTCCAGTGGTTAAGACTTTGCCTTCCAAGGCAGGGGGTGTGGGATCAATCCCTGGTTGGGGAGCTAAGATGCCACATGCCTTGTGGCTAAAAGACCAAAACGTAAAACAGAAGCAGTATTGTAACAAATTCAGCAAAGACTTTAAAAATGGTCCACATCAAAAAAAAAAAAAAAAAAAAAAAGAACTGTGAAAATAAGCATCTCTTGTTTAAGCCACCCAGTCTGTGGCGTGTTGTTACAGCAGCCAGAGCTGACCAAGACCCATCTTATCTGGAAATACTGGGTTCTTCCTGCAGCAGCTCCGTCCCAAGAGTCTGACCTGGAATTGGGGGGTGCAGCATGATCTTGCCTCTGGGGCACTTGTGGAGGAACAGTGACCTGAGACCTTCAGGTGACAAGCTTGCCACCCAGGGGTTGAGCTGGAAAGCTGCTTTGGGAATAGCAGTTGGCATCAGGTGGCTGAGCTCTTGGCAAGAACGAAACATCTGGGGACCTGCAGGCAGAGCACCAGGCTGGGGACCCAGAGGCCAGGGTCACGGTGCTGCCGACGCTCGGTATATTGCGTGACATCGGGCTTCAGGTTCCTCGTGGACAAAGGGCAGAAGTAGGGTTTGGGCTTTGTTCATTCACCTCTGTGCCGTGAGTCTGTCCAGTCCATCAAGCACCATACTCATTTCATTCTCCAGGCTTTTTTTTATTAAGCTGCTGTTTGGGAGCTGGGAGGTGGTACCCTGAGTGCTCAGTGAGCATTTGGTCTCTGCGTGACCTGGAAGCATTGCCTAATATTAATGAGCTGACCCAGCATCTGCTTTGAAGAACTTTGTGGTGTGTATCTTTGCCATGTTCACCGGTGGTCATGTTGTGTGGTGGCGGCTGGCGTGAGTACTGCAGACGGGCAGGTGGAGGACAGGGGAGATGGATGCTGGGTGCTGGGAGCCCCTCCTGGGGAGGATGCTGCCCAGCTGCAGGGAGCATCCCTGGCTGTAGCCCCTGCAGAAAGAGATGCCCACGTAAGGGCGCATCCCTCTGGGCCCTCTTCCAGTGGTCTGCCTGGCATGATGGTCTGGCCGTTTGAGCCCATCCTGATGGTACCGACAGGCTGCACATGCTGCGGGGCTCCCTGCGGGCCCTTGTTCTCCCCTCCTTCCACAGACCTGCATCTCCCACCCGTACCCTGCGTGCCAAACTCCACCTCTGCATCTTCCCCAAGGGAAGAATTTATATTGTCATGAAATCTGGGTCTTTCTTGAGGCCCCTTAGCAGCTCTGTCCAGTAGAAACAGAATGTGAGCCACATGCGTCCTTAAACATTCTCAAGTAGCCACATAAAAAAAGGTAAAAAGGAGCAGGTGGAATTCACTTTACTGAGACATTAATACCTCGTGTCTAATCCAGCACATGCAAAGTCCCATCCTTCCCATCTGCAACATGTCGGGTTTATTAGGGGGGCGGATATCATCCTTCTTGGTTGTAAGCCTTTGGATTGCGGTGCGTTCTTCACCCATGGCGCATCTGAGTCGGACCAGCCTCATATCAAGTGCTCGGTAGCTGCGTGTGTCTGGTGGCCTCCCCTGGACAGTTTTGACTTAATCCGGCATCTTGACCCTCTGCCCAGAGCCTTGGCTGGGATGGACGCTGCCTCTCGCCGAGTGCCTGCTTGGAACTGAGTCCTTCGTGTGTTTGGAAGTCATCGGGTGCTCTCGTGTCACTTGCTGGGGTCAGTGGTGGCCCAGAGTCCCTGCGGCCCAGAGCACTGCTGTGTGGCCCCGGTCCTGGTTATTTATGTGACCATTCTCTCCGAACATCCTGAGCGTCCCCCGAGCAGGGAGTGTGTGTCGCCACCCTACGATGGCTCGGCTAATTGAGCCATAAACAAAAAGTGCCTTCAGCACGGGCTCATCTGCCTCCTCGGGGGGGAGGGCAGGCTGGCCCCTCCTCGGGGGGGAGGGCAGGCTGGCCCCTCGTGAAATGTCGCCCTCTGTCAGCGCTGCACAAAAGCCTCACGTCTGTGGGCTCCGACCTGATAGATTGCCTTCTGTGCTGATTGAACAAACCCAAGCCAGGCCTGGTGTGAACAGGGCTGTTGCCTAGGCGGGGCGGTGTTCACAGGGACCGTCCCAGGGGTCGGCTGTGGTGGTGACTCCGTGCCCCTGCTGAGAGGCAGGTCACCTGCGTCTGGAGTGTGATGGGGATGGAGTCTGGAGCTGGGCCTGGGGCCCAGGGACCTGCTTGCCTTACTACTCCCGGATATCTTTGTGAGAAGCCAGTGACGTGATGGAGACCTTTAAAATGATAGTGAATGTTCCTAAAGCCACTGAATTCCGTGGTTAAACATGTGTAGATGGTGAATTTTATGTTATGTGTCTATTTTCACCAGGATTTAAAAAAAATCAGTGCACTATTTAAATATTTGTGTTAAAGCTTGATAGTTTTTCAGTTTTTAGGGTCAAGATTATGCATCTATAGTGTATTCCTGTCTACCTGTCTATCATATAAATCATGCATGTTAGGCATCTGTGTCTATCTAGATATACAAATCTGTATCTTAAAATTGTTTCCTTTTCTTTGATAGTCTAAGTCTTAGAAGAATTGAGGGTTTCATTATCACTGGCTAAAGTTAAAAGGTACCCAGTTTAGTAATCTTGGAGAGAAAATCAGGAAACAAAATGATCGTTTCCTCAACTCTTGTTACAGAGGGTGCCCATTTTCACGGCTTATTGGCCAAATTACAACTTTTAGGTAAGGGTGCACTGGGGCAGAGTCTGTCCAGCTAGATCAGAAGCGAAAGGTTTCCTCTGCTATGACCAGCCGGCTTCTGGGAGCCGGGCCCCTTTTCTCCTTGTGGGAGGCATCTTGGGAGCCCCTGACAGTCTCACCGTGAGGTCAGACAGGGAGCATTTGAGGGCCATCAGGCTGCTGTCCTGAAGGAGCCCTGGTCAGTACTTGAAGGTTTCCAGGCGATGCCTTTGCTTCCTGGTCAGATGACCTTCATCTCCCCGTGCTCTGTGGTCTCAGACCTTATCCTTTTACAGGCATCTTCCTCGGGCACAAGAGTCTTCTTGGGACTCAGTACAACCTTGGGTCAGGCTCCCAGTGGGTGAACCGGCCCGGCCCTTTTGTTGTTGCCATTTTTGTGGTCCTTGCTTTTAGTGATTGAGGGATGTAACACACCCATAATGAAAAATTAACCATTTTAACGTAAACACTTCAGTGGCATTCAGTACATTCTCAGTGTTGTGCAACCACCACCTCGGTCTAGTTCCAAAACAGTTGCATTGCCCCAGGAGGGGACCCTGTACCCTTAGCAGTCACTCCCCATCTGCCCCCCTGCCCCCCACCAGGTCCTTGGCAACCACCGGTCGGCTTCTGTCTCTGTGGACTTACCTATTCTGTGGACATTTCAAATAAACGGAATTGGACACTGCGGACTTTCATGTCTGCCTTCTTGCGCTCAGATGTTCTTGAGGTCCATCCCTGAGGTACCGTGTCAGTAGTTTTTTTTTTAAAGCTGGGTAATGGTATTGCTTTGTTGGACTCTAACCACAGATTGTCCACTCATCAGTTGTCGGGCATTTGGGCTGTCTCCACCTTTGGCTGTTGTGAAGGGCACTGCTGCTAGTACCTGTGTGTATATGTATTTAATCGAGTTTCATTTCTTTGGGAGATGTACTTAGAAACTGCCTTGTTGGGTCATATGGTAATTCTGTGTTTAACTTTTTGAGGAACCACTAAACTTTCCCCCATTGTTTTTCTTATTACTGTTGAGAATGTGGAAATGCTGGCCGCTTGCCTGTTTCCTCCTCCTTTTTTTTTAACAGAGATAGAGATTTATGTTAGGGAATTGACTTCCATAATTATGGAGGTATAAGCCCAAAATATGAAGGGGACAGTTGACATTCCATCTCAAGTGCAAAGGCCATCGGTTGGCAGAATTCCTTCTTATCTGGAGGATGTCCGTCTTTTTTTCTTAAGGCCTTCAACTGATTGAATGAGGCCCATCCCCACTATAGTGGGCAACCTGTTCTACTCAGTGTCTACCGATTTAAATGTTTCTCATCCAGAAAGCACCTTCATAGAAATATCCAGCATAATGTCTGATCAGATAGCTGAGCGCTGTGGCTCAGAGAAGGCGACACATAAAATTAACCATCCTAGGGTGCTTCCTTGTTTTCTTTCATCTCCCTCTAGGTGGCAGTGACTTCTCTGTCGGTTCTGGGCAGAGAGGGGGGTTGGGGTGTACTTTCCCACTTTCTGGGAGTCCCCTCGAGGCAGCACCAAATGATCCCAAGGGTCCCTTCACTCCTGGAATAAATGACACTTGCTGTAAAGAAGAGGTTCTTGTGTGCCTGAGTTTAGGGCATCCTCAAGTACAGGAGTCGTTCCAGAGAGTTGTTACCTAGGATCAGTTTTAATTGATGTTAGCCATCATTTTGTGTTTACTTTGTTTTCGCTTCTTTGGCCCCTTGTGTTTTAATTGTGGTACTTCGATAAATACCCAGCAAGTGACAGCTCAGCTACAGCGTGGAAGAAAAAAAGCAATCAAGTGAGAACCTTTGAATCAGGCTCTGTGTGAGAGGTGCTTTCTCTGCTGCTGAGCAGTGGGTATAAGATGCTCTAGATTTTATCCAGTAACGATGCAGCCCCACCGTGATGATGGCGAATAACAAGTACTAACCGCTGCCCTTGCGTTGTGACTTCCCAGCACTTTTGCAGAGCTTGTTACATTATCTGGTCCTTATTATAACCGCGTGAGGTATGGAGTGAGGTTTTCTTATCAAGAAACTGATGCTTATAATGAAATTCTCACCTTCCATCCTAATGGTTCTTTATTTTTTTTAATTTTTTTTTTTTAGTTTTGTGAGCAGGGTTATTGTTATTTCTTTTTTTAAAAATTTTTATTGGAGGATAGTTGATTTACAGTGTTGTGACATTTTCTTCAAGGTATTCTATACATACTTATTGTCTATTTTGTGCCTATATTCCAGGCATCATTTCATTAAATCAATGTATATATTTGGAGGATGGTAGTTATATATCATGATAGTCCTTGGTTATCTTTTTTCCCTTCATATATTATTAACTTTTGAAGAGATTATACATGTACTTGGCATGCTTTTCTGTAGGTATAAAATAATTGACAGGGGCTTCCCTGGTGGCGCAGTGGTTGGGGGTCCGCCTGCCAATGCAGGGGACGTGGGTTCGTGCCCCGGTCCGGGAAGATCCCACATGCCGCGGAGTGGCTGGGCCCGTGAGCCATGGCTGCTGAGCCTGCACGTCCGGAGCCTGTGCTCCGCAAGGGGAGAGGCCACGGCGGTGAGAGGCCCGCGTATCGCAAAAAAAAAAAAAAAATTGACAAATGAGAAACAAAAAAACAAACAAACAAAAGAAACTGATGCTCACAGAGTTTGGCACTTGGAAGTTATACACTGTGTGTCAAGATGCTGGGTCTTAAAGCTTGTTTTGTGACCCCTGATTTATACAGAATTTGATCATAAAGTAGGATGATTGTCTATATTGTTTTTAATGGACTGAGTGTGAAACTGATGGAAATATTAATGGAAGCTATTTAAAAGGAAAAATGAAAACTTAGTGATGTTGCCATGGATATCCTACAAACACAGGGACATCCTGAAAAATGACAACGGTTGGTGGCAAAGCTTGAAACGTGTAAGAAGAAAACTGTGGAATGTGGTTATTTGAATAGCAAGCAGGAAGGTTTTATTGTTGCGTGTTTACCCAGGGAGATCTTTAAGGCCTTCAAGAAAGAACCTGACGGATTACAGCAGCCTCTGAGGGATGTGAGCTGTTTGTCCCATCCAGGGAAGATGTTACTGCAGCAGACAGCACACGATCGTGATGGGAGTGATGCTGGAGAGAGGCTTGGGGAGTCAAGAGGGGATGCCATGGGGGTGCCAGCCCCGTAGGAGAAGAGACATCTGGCCCCCAGATGTGGCCCTGGGGTTCCTATTTGTGGTTTCAGCCCATTCTGGCCCCAGGTTGGGCCTGACCTTGGCAGACCTCTGAATATGCTGCCCTTTCCACTCTCAGCTGGGCGGTGCTGCTCTCAGCGGCAGTGTGACAGTGTGTGGTGGCAGTTTTGGTCATCACACCATGGCCTTTAGTGCCCTAACGCCCGGACTGCTACTCATTCCCAATGTGCTGGACAGGCCTGCCCTGTGTAGAACTGTCTCGCCCCCAAATGCCAGTGGCGGCCCATTGAGAACCACGCGGCGTCTCCTTAGAAGTGGCGGCCCCTCATTGCACTGACAGAGCCCTCTGCTGTTGGGTCACCAGGTCGTGCGCATAATCATGGGGTCAGGTTTCAGTGGCAACCTTGAGATCAAAGGGACGCCAAAATCTGGGCTTCTCACATCGAAGAGCAGTACCCTTTTTAGAAGGATGTGTAAATGTTTCTCAACTGTGATTTATAACAAAAGCATGGAGCGGGTTTCAAGGATTTTGCAGCTGGGGTGATGGCCCAAGGGAGCCCAGGATCCGTCAGAACTTGGGAGCCTGCGGCCTCAGCCTGTCTCGCCATCACCAGAGTTTGGGGTCAGCGCCCTTGCTCCCAGCTTCCCGGGAATCACAGCATACTGTGCCGGGTCCTGACTTTCCTTTCTAACACTAATGACCCCGGGCAGCAGCTTTGGCGAGAATTGACAGAACTTTTTTGATGAAATATGTTTCTGGAATTGGGGGAAAATGTTTAAAAGAGCTTTCCATTCATTTAAAACTGTTGGTAGGATTTGGCCTTGAACCTGCCGGGTGCCCCTGTGTTTTAAAGTTGAAATGATTCCCTAGCTAACTGGCCATCTCCAGCCCCACATGTGCATTTTCCAGAATAATCCTCATTTCTCCCTGATTCGTAGAGGTGAAAGGCCAAAGCCAAGGTCCTGGGGCAGCTTTGAAGGGGACAAGTTCAGGCAGGCCACCCCAGACTGGGCATCACTGTTAGAAGACCACAGCCATGGCCGTCTTGCCAAAGGAATGTCTTTGGACCTGTGACTTTATCTCAGGCCAGTAGTTGTCTGCCAGGAAAAGGGCAGAGCGGGGTCATGCTGACGTCCAGTCTGTGGAAGGAGGGAGGTGGCACCAGCCATCCCATGGAGGCTCGGGGTGAATGGTAGGTTTGGAGGACAGGCTTAAAAAGATCCCACAGGGACTTCCAGTGGTTAAAACTGTGTGCTTCCACTGCTGGGGGCACAGGTTCCATCCCACGTCGGGGAACTAAGAGATCCCACATGCCTCACAGTGCGGCCAAAAAAAAAAGAATCCCACAGAAGTGTGAGTCCATTTTAACTAAATATATTTTTTCCTTCCTAAAAACTAGAAGTTAAAAGCAACAGGTACATTCAGATCTGTCGCACACCAGGTTTTCACCCATTGGCATCCACCGTCGTCTTAATTTCTGCCGTGGGGTCAGCTCCTTGTTTTGTGCAGACCCCCAAACAAAGCCAGTCTGGTCATTTCTGTTTAGTTGGAGCGTATCTTGAGACGGCAGGGGGAGCGGTTAAGAGCTGCGGCCGCATGCAGCCCGGATTTGTGCAAATCAGAACCAGCTGGAGGAATCCTTTAAACTTAAGGTCACGGATTGCAGCTGGTACCAAGGGGCGTGTTGAGACAGGTTCTGACTGTGGATTAGACGTGGGCAGGGGCAAGGGAGAGGTGCAGGAGTTTGGCTGGTCAGCTAGTCAGGTACAGGTGGGGGAAGCGTGGCTGGAAAGAAACGCCTCCTGGATAAACAGTAGGTGTAAGAACTTTAGTCGACTCAGTATGACTCAGCACTACGGTGTGGGTTCACACACACACACACACACACACACACACACACACACACGAGAGTTGGGGTGGCTGAGCCCTCAGGCTGCCTGCAGGGGTACATAATCTGGGAGAGACAGGAGCCACTGCACTCACCACTGGCGGACCACCCATGCTTACCTCTTGCAAACTCACTTCGGAAGGGTGTTTTGGGTGCAGTAGGATACGCTGGGTTCCGGACTCTGGGTGCTGGACAGTGGGTCAGGGGATGGTGCACACGTGGCGGCTTTCTTGGGCACGTTTCACTAGAGTGTAATTGAGCTTGAGAATTTCCACCAGGAGAGCTCTCGTGTGTAAGTGGCAACCCAGTCAAGACGCAAAAAATTACCGGGGTGGCGGTTTCCAGTCCCACGCAGACAGACAGTTTCACTAACTCTGTTGTTAGTTCATTCTTTTGCAGGTTAATGAGGAACTGCTCGCTAAATCCTTATTTGAACGGACGAGTCAGTGCCTTCAATTGAATAATTTTTGAACCGTTTATAGGGAGGAGGTCTTACCCAAATATAAACATGGCTGCAATAATAGAATCACTTGTATCTCACTTGTTAATTACACAAATACCTCTTGTCTCCTCATTACCTGGAGAGCTTTCTACTAGGGGCCAGCAGGTGGAAAAGTAGAAAAGAGTTTCTGATCAAAGGAGGACTGAGTCTTGTCTTTTAAAGC